TTTTAACTGTGTACTATAGTAATAAGTTTAACAGTAGATTATGCACAATTACATGCAATTTACCCTAAACATACATGTTGTTACTTAATATTACACAGTACTTAAGGACACCTTAAAATAAAGTGTAACCAAGAATATTATTATCTCGATGGAATATATAGTGAAACACAGATAAGGTAATTTGGACAGAGGATATGGTGCAGTCTGTCATGATGTTTTACTTGTAAATTTGTATGTGAAATGTTTTTTTATGTTTCTTTTTTGGATGTTTCTTTATCTGCAAAACAAATTTACCTACGAACGTATGAAATAAATATACCTTACCTTACCTAAGTGTGAGTTTGGTCAATTTAAACATATTCAAACGCCTTAGAGTTTCAGTACCGTCCACTAGAATAACAAATAAAGCATAATCCTAGTAATATAATAGGCGATGCTAATTTTCCACAACCGTAATGTAATGTCAGGACATCTTCCATGTGATTGAATTATACCCTGTTTTAAGCAGATTGACAAAATCAGTCGTTCAATCATATTTCCGCCGGGATTATTTCACTCTCTCGGCCCGGGTTACGCACTCATTGGCTTGAGAAGAGAATCTCATCACTAAAAAAGGTCCTTCAAAGCAGCGTAAAGCCATTATGATTATCCGAGGCGAGCGTCCCGGTCTCTGTGAAGGTCACCGGGACACATGCAGGCCTTCTCCACATTAAACACCCTGCTGGAAAACATCCACGCTTGGTTATTCCCTCATTCCACGGCTCTGACGATCGTTAGCGTCGGCTCGCGGCTCAGAATAGCCCGTCCGGAGTCTCTTTAGCGTGGAGTCAGTCGCTTTCTGCTGGGAACCTTCCTCCAGCGTCAGCTTTACTGGAACAGGTCCGGATCGGGTTCCAGATCAATGCGAGCTGGGTGCACACGTTTATGTTATTGTTGCCAGCATTAATGCCCTTTTAATCTTTAAGAGATTACACGCATTGATCCGCCGTCGTTCAGCAACACATATTTGTTTGAGAAAGTGACATAACTCACACACGTTACCGAACGAACAGGACGAAAATAAACTGGTATTTTGAGCTGGTTCTGCCCTCATCAAGCAGAAACCGATCCATGACTGTCCTGGCATTGAAGATATGCTATGCTGGACTATATTACTTCTTTGCATCTTGGCATCCAAACCAAAAGGTCACAAGCTTAACTATATATCCGCCAGGCCGGGTCATTTGGGGTCTATGCATAATTTGCATAGTATTTTAAGAGAATTGCATAGGGCATGCTGTGCAATTATATACAGTATATAATATATTTGTTTGCATATAAACCAAAAGTCACATCCTCAGTGAGACAGATAGATATCTATAGCAAGATATCAGCCAGGGATATGCGAGTCTATGCACAATTTGCTACTTTCAAGAATTTTAAGAGAATTGCATATGGACATGCTGTGCAATAAAAAATAATAATTTCATAGTTTTGTTTTAAATCATTAAATCACTATTAGCATTTATCATATAGATGCATTCTATTGATTGTCGACCACTTATTCTACCAATATAACCGCAGTGAAAATCTGGGACTTTTTTTTTCATGCAAACCTGGAAATAAATGTTTTTGGATATTAAAAAAAAAAGGTAAGACTTTACAATAAGGTTTGATTTGTTAACATTAGATAATGTATTACTAACAATGAGGAACACATTTGTTACTGTATTTGCTAATCTTTGTTAACGTTAGTTTTAATAAAAATCCAGCTGTTCATTGTTTGTTGTTAGTTCACAGTGCATTAACTAATCTTAACAAATGCAGCTTTTGATTTTATTAATGTATTAGCAAATGTTGAAATTAACATTAAAAAGATGAATAAATGCTGTAGTTCATTATTAGCTCATGTTAACTAAAGAACCTAATTGTAAAGTGTTACCAAAAAAAAGTATTTCTAGGATCAAATGTCAGTACATGAGTGTCACTGATCATGTGACAGACTCTTTCATAATGTTTTGCTGTTGCAAATACCGAGACCTTCACAAATACAACTTTTCACTCACATTGTGATGCTGATAATATCATTTGTAAGTGATAGTTGTGCTAAGACTTTCCGCTGTATCTAAAGGTGTTTATCTTCTCTATCTTGCTTGTGGTCTCTGTCTGAAAAGCTCAAATGGAGAGAGAAGGCCTGGCATAGGTTGGAGGTATATTTATCCGTCTCTTATTTACGGGCCGGGACCCCATGTCTCTCCAGCACCTGGGCTCTTTTTCAATCTCCCCGTCCTGACTGGTATAGCAGCGCTTGTCCGCTTTGATCATGAAGTTAATAAAGTTGTGTGTGTGCAGGACGGCACAGGCCGAGGTTTGTCTCACGGCTGATTGCTTGTGCGCTGAGACTGGAATGAGCTCCAGTCAGACGACACCTTTCATTTGACTAGATGAATAGTGCAGAGACAGGCTCGTTTCAGCCGTGACATCACACATCTGCACCGCAACAAACATTCTCTTTAGAACCTTCGAGTGTTCCGAAGGCGCTTCGTGGAGCATATGGAACCTTTTAGCGGTTCCAGTCATTTTAACTACATTTTATCATTTAAAACATACTTTATCACTTGAAATAATCGGTTAAACATTATGCAATAATTTAAGACATTTCTCCTTGTATAGAACATTTTAGCGGTTCCCATCATTTTATGGACTTAGTTTTTAAATTGTAATTACATTTTATAATTTAAAACATACGTTATCACTTGAAATAACTATTATTTAAGATATTTCTCCTTGTATAGAACCTTTTTTTCTTTTTTGGCATAAAATGTCTTTAAAATTAAGTCAAGAACCTGAGAGTTGTGTATAGAACTACACTGAACCTTTCCATACGAGTGAATGCCTTCATAACTTTCATGAATAAGACATAATTCAAATATCCATGACATTTCAATACAAATCATTGCAAATTGAATTTGAATGAAAATAGTAAATGGACTTAAATGACCGCGGCACTCAAGTTGTGCAAATATAGCTGAAGATTAAAAATGAACAGATCTTCAATGAAAGCACGGAAATATGACCGTCACATGATCAATGACACTCATTCCTTACATTTGATTAGTCGCCTAGAAATACTGCACAATCAGAAATATGTTGTTTATTTACGGATTTAAATATTGAAGAATATTTTTTAAAAATTGCTGGTGATTTTGGACCCCACTATAGGCCTCTATGAAGATAATAGTTTCATGATTTTCACCTAAAGTCAGTTATAATCTGTTCAGCAGTATATAAAGGCTTAAGAGTTTACAGCGAGGTCGTTGTGCTTGCATACATGCACGTAAAGGTTTAATTCGAGCACGGTGAGCAATTCTCCCTTGGTCAGACATTTATGATGTCATTTATGATGTCATGATGTGCAACTCCTCATTGTTTGTTTCACATTCTTTCCCCCAAACGCTGAACAAAAGGCAGGTGCTGGGCTGCACATCTCTGCCTGTTTAACCCGAGACAAGGTGACGTTTTGTGCGTTGAGCTGAGGGTCACGCAGAGATTTCTATCAATAATTCATCGAGCCGCTGCAGCCTCTGTTCTTCTTTTCAATTCCCCTGCAGATCACATAATACCTTCCCCCCAACCCAAAGCCATCTGTGAGACCAGAGCCCTGCAGGGAAACAGCATTAAAGCACCTAACATCTCCAATGAAGCTTTACAGCCTTCTGGTTCAAATCATATTGTTGGTGAAAGAAAGATGCATTTGTTTGTTTACAAAGCAATCACCTTACAGGGACTCTGTTCAGAGCATTTCATCAATGCATGTTCAAAGAATAAATGACACTCACAGTGGAATGTTTTGATAAAGATGCCTGTGTTTCGGTATGTGCAATTGAATTGAAGTATTGTTGGCTCAATCCTCACGCTCTTCCTCCAAACCCTTTTGTTGACAACTGAAATAGTTGTTATTTCAGAAAGATACAGTTTGTTTTTTACAGAAACAGCTGAAGCCGTAATGCTCAGGCTATATGCGTCTGTGTTGCACAATGCATGAGGCATCAGAGCTGTCCATTATTTCAGTGAATAATTGTGCATCACCCTACAAATTAAAAATCAATACGCACCAAGCTTTTATTTTAATGCACTGATAGGATGCTATTCAACAGCACGACACCTACAACACATCCAAACTACACTGAAGCTGGAAATCCAGCTCTTGCTTTTTCTTCTTCAGCCGAACAAAGGAAAAGGGGGTCTGCACCGCCCATCGCTAGAGGGGGCAACAAGCCTGATGTAGCGGGGCAGGAGAGGGAATAACAGTCCAGTAATTACCAACACATCCCTATTCAGCACCTCTCTGAAAGGCTTTTCTTTAACACACACACACACACACACACACAGACTAAAGCGCCACATCCACCAGCCTAACTTGTGTTTACTGAATATCTTGAGTATTTTAAAGTAAATGTGAATGTGCAGGTAAACAATAGACACGCTGCGGATCAAACTAAAACATCAGCTATTCACTCTTAAAATAAAGGGTCTTTATTGGATTCTAGTTCCACGAAGAACCCTGGAATCTTTTCATTCCACAAAAGGTTCTTTAGATTTTCAAAATGTTCTTTATTCTAAGCAACAACAAAAAAATATATTTTTTTATTTTAAGAACGGATCATTATTCTATGGGGAACCAAAAATGGTTATTTTATGACATCACTTTTGGAACCTTTTTTTTAACAGTGTGTATATATTAACAATACCTGTTTATAAGTGGTGGTGCAAGTCTAGACGTTTATAAAAACAAAATAAAAAAACATTTGTGCATGAATTAAACAATGCACATTAAATGTCACGAAACGCTATAAGCCTTTAGAAATAAATACATGATGCACACAAGTCAATTAATGTGCATTGTATACCTTAATAAAATAAAATAAACATGATGATAAGGGTTGATCCTCTACTATATTGCCAATCAAAATCTCCATTTACACGAAAGATTGTTTAAAAAAGCAGATACCTTGTCTTACCTGCAAGCCGAAGGGCCGACATCCTCTGAAACTCGGGCTCCTGTAACCACTTCCACATGCGGCGAAACGTCTCTCGGCCGGACTTGAGTTTACTCCAGGGTTTGGGGTTCCGCAGGAGGTCGGACAGGGTTCCCTGCGAGCGGCACAACACCCGCTGAGCGAAGATGGCTTGCGGGATACTATAGCGCTTCAGCTCGGCCGTGATGCGCTGCGCCACTTCTTTCGTGTTGATCTCTTCCAGCTGACCCGAGCCGCCAGAACCCGGCGCTCCGGAGGAGGAGGGCGGTCTGTCCCGGTTGGAAGCCAACACGGGCCCGTGGGATTGAGGGTGGCACCCGTGCATCCCGTTGAGATGCGGCATCATGCCCGCGGTGGGGCCACCGAGGCCTCTGGAGAGGTGCTGGTCCCCTCTGGCCAGCATGGCAGTGTGTGCGTCAAAGTTGGAGCTTAGCATCTTATCGTGCCCGTGCGCGCCGTAATTGTGGAGCGTTGGTTGCGCGTTGTGGATGTTACCCAGAGGGGACAAGCTTTGACCCATCCCGCTCATATCTTTGTGGTAGGGGCTGTAGATGTTATTCATGGCTGGTAGAGTCCTCTCGTCCCGCATGAGAGTGAAGCTGCCGCTCACATTCCCAGAGAGACGCTGGTGGTGGTGGTGGTGGTGGTGATGCGGATGGTGGAATTTGTCGGATACTGTGGAAATGGGAGGCAGGGGCTGAAGCGGGGTCAGGGTGGTGTATGTGCCGCTCATCCCGGGTGGGGAGGTGTCGCACGGCATGCTCATGGCGTGATGAAGCGGTAAAGAAAGCTCCGGACGATACTCTCCTCCCGCGCAACCTCCACCACCACCACCGTCCAGTATCGATGCCATACTGGACACCATCGCGGAGCGCGACGGCGCAACGCTCAGATCCTGGTGTATCCGTAGCGAATTGCGGTTGTGATGAGGGCTGTGGCTCATCAAGTCCTGCTCATGGCTTATTCCGGCATGTAGGTTGCCAATGTCCATTGTCATCTCTGGGTTCATGGCGTACGCATCCAAATCCTTGGCCAGGCATCGATAGGCGGTATAGGCAGTCTTCATTCAGTCCATTGATTTATGTCCAGCTTTGTGCTAGGGATGGGTTTTCTCTCCTTTTTTTTTTCTTCTTTTTTTTTTTTTCTTTTTTTTTTTTGGTTGTGCTAAGGCCTCTCGGTTTTTTTTCTAATAAATAAAAAACACCGATCTCTATCAGACGGGCCAGTGCTGATTTCTCCCCATGTCCGAGCCCTCTACTCCTCCTGCGTCTTCTGTTTGGGCAGCTGGAGGTGTTCGGGGTGGGCTTTGCTCCGCGCGCACCCGACCCTGCTGAAAGGGGAGGAGACTTCGCCTTGACTGACGCGCCACCCGTCCAATCGCGTTGCTCGTGAGTGCAGCTCATTAGCGCTCTGGCCAATCGCTGAGCCCGTTCGGAGCGGCTGTCTTTGCATCTGGAATCTGGCGTCAGACGGTCCCTTTACTGTCATTCCGAACGGATCATTTCATCCTCTACACAAACATAAAATTCACATAAACACAATCACACAATATCATGTGCAACTTAACTGTAAAACAACAAATGCAGAACAAACTTCTAATGTAGGCTACTATTTATTCTATAGGCTATTTTGTGCATTAGTGTGTATTTTGCGTATTGGGCGAATTAGTGCATGTTTATGTTTTTTTTCTAACTTACTGTAAAAAAAAAAAATATGATCAATGAGTTAATGCACCATATGTTTTTTACATTGTTTGAACTCATCAAAATAAGTTAAGCAATTTTCAACTTTTTTTTATAAGTTATACAAGATTAAACTCGTTTTTTTAAGTCAGTTTAATGTAATTTAACTTATATGACTTAAACATCCAAGATGATTGTACTTAAAAATTTTAAAAAATATTTAGTCTATCTATCTATCTATCTATCTATCTATCTATCTATCTATCTATCTATCTATCTATCTATCTATCTATCTATCTATCTATCTATCTATCTATCTATCTATCTATCTATCTATCTATCTATCGTTCTATCTATCTATCTATCTATCTATCTATCTATCTATCTATCTATCTATCTATCTATCAAAACATCAATCAGATTTCAATCAAGTTAAACATGCTTAAATGTCAAGTCTTATTTTTTTTTTGTTCGTGTTTTCTGATAATTTAACACTGGCTCATTACATTAAGGCCTACTTTACATTATTATTTAAAATATGAATTATGCATATTAATTTCACAGTGCTGTATAGTCCACAATGGGCCTGTAAATATAAGGTTAGCACACACTGTAAATACGAGCCGAATTTTCTCTTTTGTATTTCTAGTAAATTTGCGCGGGTTGATTTAAGGCTTTATTTTCCTTCGAAACACTGTTAAATGCAGGGGTCTAAAAAATATGCAGTGCAAGACTTTTTTCTTTTTTTAAGTTCTACATGTTTCTCAGTAGCACTGATCCTTTTCGCGTTAGAGTTGGTCTAAATCGATCAATGCTCTCGCAGAGTAACTTCTTCACGCGCATTATGGCCTGATCCGGCTTGAAGTGATTCAGAAGTAACAGATTTCTCGAATGCCGGTTGCTGTTTTCTTTGGAGGATGCGCAGATGTTGCTTTTGTTTAAAGCGACTGTAATTAAGGATGAGCGACAGAAGTCTGAAAAGCGTGACCTATTTTTCTTTTGATCAGCTGTCAGAGGAGGAGCATGAGGAGCAGGGGGAGCGGGGGCCCGGGGTCTCCACAAGACTCTTCCCGGATTTTCAGCTGCCACAAATTGGAGGAAAAGTGCCCGTACCTGCCGCGCGCGACTGTAGCGAATCCAGTGACGGACACAGACGAGTTTGATTCTGCTCGGGTGTTTTTGTGCTGCTTTGCTTTGGCACACTTCAACACAATGCAAAGAATCACTGACTGAAAAAGGCCCTTATTCATGTCAAAGAAAATCGATATTTGAGAGAGAGAGAGAGAGAGAGAGAGAGAGAGAGAGAGAGAGAGAGAGAGAGAGAGAGAGAGAGAGAGAGAGAGAGAGAGAGAGAGAGAGAGAGAGAGAGAGAGTGCATGTTGTTTTCCTTCTAAATGCACGTAAAACTCTAAACCTTAAAATCTCAACTCACTTTAGCTTTAACAAGGGAACAAATTATCAAACGTCCACTTATAATGATATTATTCGGAAGTTCAAGTTCCATTTAGAACGTCTTTTTATTTTTAAACTTTTATATAACCTAAAAACTACATTTCCCCCCACTAAATTTACACACAATTTTACTTTAAACATGACAACAAAAATATTGTTATAGGCTATCTGTTACAATACTTTCTAAATAAAATAAAAACACTGTTTAAAAATTATTATGATCAATACGTTGACTGACAACATATAGGGTATTTTTACATTGCTTTAACTCATCAAAACAAGTTAAGCAATTTTCTACTTTATTTTTACAAGATTCAACTCATTATTAAAAGTCTTTAATGTAGGCTAGTTTAAGTTGAAATGACTTAAACATTTAAGGGAGTAACTCTTTTTTTACAGTGAATTTGAGTGTAAAGAAGAAGAAAATGGAGTACAGGTTATTACAAATAATGTTTACAGGTTATACAGATGACGGAGTTTAAATGCATTTACTGGATGGATAACATATATATTTAAAACTGAATATAATCTGGTGCTAATTAAACCCATTAAAATGCTAAACAATTCTTGTTTTCTCTAAGATCTGATATGCATCTGATTGCAATATCATACTCTGAAGTTTGCACTTCACATGACAATACACCGAAACTACTTGATTTAGCAGTTCGGCTTAGTTTCAGACAGATGTTCAGATGTGATGAGATTAACTCATCTGAATGGATTAGGTGTGTAAATTAAATACACTTGAGTTTGTTATTTCATCATCATCATCGTGCAAAAGCTAAAGAGGCCCGAGTAACTGTTGGATTGGGCTTTTTCTCCCCGTGTTGCCTCACTCCGACCATCTGCTGTGTACGAGCACTATATCGATCAGAATCAGTGCGCCTCGGACCCCATGATGACCGTGCCGTTACTGGCCGCCAGTTTCTGCATCTGTTCCCAGTGACCCGGCAGCTCTCGGTAAGTCTCAGACTTTCCTCTGGCACTTTAAAAACGCTCTTGCTTTCAGTCATAAGATGAAATGCTGTTTATGGTTATGCGCGTTAACACGCACGCGGACGCTTTTCTCCAAACCCGCGCGTCGCTTTACAGGAGCGCGAGACACAAACCCGATTACCCGCGTTTATAACACACACACATGATCCATGCATGAGAAATAGATCCTTCTGAATGAGTGTTTTTGCTATTAAACCCGTTTAATATTTTTAATGCGATAGCTCTCTTCAATAAATGCTGTTCAATGATTCTTTGGGTGATAATGTGTTTATGTGACGCTAGTTGAAAGCTGATGTAGTTTGCGGATATTCTCGGTGATTTCTGCGTATTTAAAATGTAATTTGCTTGAATAGACACCGTTAAAGAAACACGTGCAACACTTCTTGAATGATAAATGAGATTGTTTGAGGGTTTAGAAATGTCAATATTCATGTCATTATAATGTCATTATGCCAACATTATCTCTGTCGCTCTGTGAATTTTGTGACAGTCTATTATGTAAATTTAATAATAATAATAATAATAATATCTGTGCCGTTTTGTCCTGCGAAAATGATACTAGCCTACTGTAGTTTAGTATTATTTACCTTTTTTTCCAGCATCTTAAGAGGCCTCGAGATCTGACCAAACCAAAACACTTTTTATAAGCAAACAAGAGATTAGAAAGTCGTGGTTTTACACGTCACGAGACTTTCAGAAAACATGAAACATGTTCACACACACACACACACTATCCATCTCTCTCTCACACACACACTCACACACTTCTCGTGCATGACATGCTTAACAGGTGCGCAGAGAATTAAATTCGCCTAAAGAAAGTTATAATGTGCAAAAGATGGTGTTCAAAAAACGGCATTAACTTAATTTTCGCGTTTTTGTTTTTAGCAGGAGAAATCAGCCTGAATTAGTGATGCATTAAAATAAACATATGATTTTGTAGATGTAGCCTACCGGATAGGAGGTTATTATTGTTTTTTTCCTGTTATGAACATACTGAACTATAAAATTGCATTATTTTAAAGTTCTGAGCTTATAGAAAAAAAGGTTTAAAACCGCAACACGAGGTTAATATCCGACATAATATTACTTTATGTCAGTGTTTTTATTGCTTCCTTAAAGAATACAACGTTCACACGTAATTCCAAGTAATTAAATAACGTTTAAAATTATGTTATACTCATGTGGTTTTGTTTGTCGGATTTTAAGAATATACGAGGGAAAGGTCATATAGTTGACACATTTGTATGCATGAATGTATGTACATGTATTGGCTGTAATCTGAAGTCAGTGTGAAAGTGTGTGTGATGGTGCAGAGAGGGTTTGTGTTTCTCTGATGATCATATTGATTGTTTTGAGTGTTCAGGGTTAATTAATAACTGCTCTTGTTTTGCATGTGTGAGCGGTTTAACATGGAAGTGCTTGTTCTTCCTCTAGAAAACCTCCATACTGTTATGATAACGTCTCTATTGCATATTTCCACGCGATATCTTCATCATGTCAAATGCAGTATTGCTGAAAGGCTGTGCTTTGCTTGCTGTGTTTCAGGCCCCGTGACCTTTAACCCTCGACACTTTCACCTCGTTGTGTCCACGAAAGACACGCGGACAACAGCAGATTCTTCAGTCCTCTATATATGTGTCAGACTAAATTAAGAGAATATAATAGAAAAATGTGTGTAATGTACTAATAAACGAGTGAACGGAAAAGTTATAATCTGAGCCGTTGATATTTTCTATGATTTCATAATATTCACTGAAGGAAAGAAAATTAATTTTACTATTATAAACTATTATAATTATTATAGACTATTATAAAACCTTGCTGTAATTAATATGACATAAAAAATAACACTTTACAACGGTTTCATTTGTAAACATTAATTAAAAATTAAAAACATTATTAAAATCAAAAGTTATAACAAAGATGAATAAATACTGGAACAAATGTATTGCTCATTGATAATGTTAGTTATTAACCAGTGTTAACTAATGGAATCTTATACAGTGTTACTGAAAAGAATATACAATTGACAAAAAAAAAAAAAATTCAACTCTGCATTAAAATATTAAATTGTGCATTAAAAAATGTAATTATACACTGAAAAAAAAGGTAACCTAAACCGGTAACATCTAAATTAACTGGTCAAAAATGCAGTGTATGAACTCTTTTTTATGGGTTAAATGATAAGAATTACAGGTTATCTCTTCTTCAGTGTAGTTAAAATGTGTAATAATTTAAAATGCTTAAAATACAGAGTAAATCTGAAATAATAAATGTGTCATTATACGCATTTGTGTTGCAAATACAATACAATTGAGTGTATTGTGTGAGTGAGTGAATGAGTGTGTGTGAGTGTGTGTGTGTGAGTGTGTGTGTGTGT